GAGTGGGAGAAAAAAACTTTCACGTTTGTAGTTTTATTTTGTTATACAATATTTGAAATAAAACAAACAAAACACTACATTTTTGGAAATGTTTGTGGGCGTTTTCTTGTTTGTTTGGGTTTTTTGTACTATTTGAACACTAAAGTAACCCTCACATGAGATGACAGTGCCAGCAGTGGCCCACGGCTCATTTCAGTTTCACACCCCTGCTGTAACATCTTCACCTCCTGTGTCTTGACTTCTTTAGTTTACATTGGTTAAAATGGTTTTTGCTTTTTGTGTTTTGCGGATGCAGAGCCTTGAAATCAGTTTTATTTACAGTTTCAGTTGCAAAGTGAAGAAGCAAAATTAAATTTAAAGTAGTGAATATTATGTAGCACAAAAGGAGTGTTTTAAAGACTTTATGTAATAACTGAACATTTAAAATTTGATCAGTTCCGAGTTGTTTCTTTTAGCAGTTTATCAGATCAGTGCAAATGTACTGTATATGGACAACACTGCAGACCGTCACGCTCTGCTGCCATAATGAGGCTTTGGTTCACTCTTCAGTTTTGAGTGAGGTTAATTATATTGCTTAATTGGCCTCAGGGCTAAAACACACACACACACACACACACACATGGAGGAGTAAGGGATTGTGGTAAAATAAGGGTGAATAGTAAAAAGCAGCTATTTATCCCCGCTCCCTCGGGTCTCCTGGGACGCATGCTGATGGGAACAATGATCGGTTTAACTCCATCCACTGACCTGCACACATCATACACACAGCCTCACACACTCTTCATGTGTGGCTCTTCTGGCTCAAGACACATACACCCACACGCACTCATTTTGGGAGTTTTTTGCACGTCAATCTGCATGTTGACCACGTCAGTTGTTCCAGACAGCTATCGGTACTCTTTCTGTTCATGTTTGTAACTCAACAGCTGAGAAAATGAACATACAAAGCAAAGTGTAAAAAACACTCCTGGTGGGTTTTCCCTCTTATAAAAAGTCATTCGTAATTCTTACGCAGATTTCAGAAATGGCACAAAGTAACAGTGGCAGGTTAACTGCCAACATGTTCTCATCACAGAGTTTAAATAGTGCACTCCTGTTAGAAGCTGCTGCTGTCACAGAAACTTTGAAAAAGGTGTCCTTGGCGTCACTGCCGCGAGTCGATATTAAGCCCTGGTTGTGTTCGATACTGCGGTCACTGCTTGCATAAACTATAATGCAAACTCAGCATAAAGATTTAGACTCAAGCTTGAGGTAAGTTTGACTCGCTTTAGTAGTTTCCTGATTGATGGAAGAATTGCAAGGCCATTAAATTATCATGAACCTTCTTGTTTTACCAAACAGCAGCATTTAACACCCTGAGAATAAGAATCCAGCCATGTTGGCTTTTAACATGTGCCACAGGTCAAAGCACAGTCTGGGATTTTAATAAGTAAACCTTTGTGGCGGTCTCTTCATTTCTTGGTTTGGTGACGTTTTGGCTTTGACTCCAGCAATCAGAATTTTAACAGAGTTTTGTGTGACTTGGCCGACATTCTTGTTGTCACCTCTTCTGTAGGAGTTGTAACTTAAGCTCTGCCAGACATAATATTTCAGGGTGAATTTTAGTTTTGTTGTGTAAAATGAACGTTTTACATTAGCGCTGGTTTTGAATGCAGGATAGAGATCCCAGACTAGCTTTCATAGACTAAAAACATGAGTAAATACAATTTGTTTTGCACCCCCACCCAAAGTTTCGCCTCTCCTCTCCATCACTTTGTTTTCAAAGATTTCCCTTTCTTCTTCTTACTTGTCTCACGTTCCCACCCTTCCCCTTGCTTTCTAACCCTCCTTCTTTGTTATTTTCTTTCTCTCTTTATTTCTTCTTTTTCTCGTGGACCCTTCCCCCAGTTTTCCCACCTCGGTGCTCCATCGGGAGCACCACAAAGCCTGGTGCTGCCGTAGCAACCACCGCGCCACCGCCTCTGCCCCGGCAACAGGCCGTCGTCAGGGCTGCTGACCCTTGACCCCATCACAGCTGCTTACCCATCGCATATCCCTGGCTCTCTGCTCGCTCCCGTGACCAGGGGGTCACACACTATATCACTTTCACCAAAAAAACAGGACAAGACGAGAGAGGAGAGGAAAGGAGAGACGAGGAGATGAAGCAAGCACACAAGGAGAGAGGAGGTAAGGTGACCAGAAAAAAAACAGAGAAGAATGAAGATTAAGAGTCGACATAGAAGGAAAACTAAAAGAATCAAAGATATGAAATTAAATGAAGAAAGCAAAAGATAACAACCTTAATATATGTTAAGTGGAGATAAATGAGGAGCAGAGGAAAAAAGAGATGAGGCAACACGATGAGAGGACAGCAAAAGGGATAAGAGACCATCTTATGGTGGAACACACACCAGCCCTGACGCTAATGCTCTGACTCATCGCACTCACCTTCTATCACCACTCATGTCAGCTACAAATCTGTAAAGTTTCATGACTGCTGTCTTGCAGCGTTGTGATGCTATCATGTTGATATATCTGTCCACATACAGACAGGCAGACACAGACACATCTTCGAAAGTACTCTAACCTCTTTAGATACTCCTGCTATAGCAAGCAACAGCAGGCCCCTGTTTGCTATTAAGACATTCACCAAAGAACAAAAGCACAAGGTGAAACCAAATGTATCCATTCTGTTGAAGGTTGTAACAAAAAACAAAGATTAGAGAAGACAGAGTGAAGAGAAGACATAAGGCACAGCGGAAGGAAATGAAAAGAGGAGGGGACATATGAGGAATGAAAAGGAAAGAGAAACAAGAAATCCAAGGATGGAAATGAAAAACAGTGAAGTGCTACTCGTGTGTAAATCGACTTTGGGTTTCTTGGAGGTAGACAAAAATAAGTTATATTATTGTTATTATAAAGAGGACTGTAAGAAAAGAATAGGCACAATGAAAGGAAAGTGAGATTAGAGATAGGGAAAGAAAAGGATACGACTGACGATGAGCAGAAATAAAAGTAGAGAAGAAACCAACAGGAGAGGGGCGATGAAATGAGAACATGAGAAAAAGGAAAGCAGGAGCTGAAAGACTAAGAGGTTTACTTGGGTTAAAGACATAACATTTATGGATCTATCGAGCATTATGTGAAAGTTCAATTTATAAAACATTATAGAAAACAGTTTAATCCTCTAAACTTTCGACTCTTTTTTTAACTCTACTGGTTCTACAAAGTGCTTACATCTCTCATTCATATTCATGAGCATGGCACACAAATGGTGACACATTAGGCATTCACCTTTATGGTACTGAGTTTGTGTCTGTCAGTATTTGTCTGTGCAGAGAGTAATGAACCCACGGTGGTGTGTAGTCCTCCAAAAAACCAGCGCAGCATGGATGATGCTGTGCGTAGGCTAGATGTTGATTGGTTGAAAAGTGGGCAGGAACAGGAAAAGGGACGACAGGAAAAATTCCCCCAACTGGAAGAAATATGAGAGAGCTGCCCTGCACAGACGACTGATGGAGCCAGGTTCAGCCGGGCACATGTAATAACATCATGTGTTTCCAGGACTGAGGATGTGTCTGAAGCAGACTCCATTCCCCTGTGTGCCACACGAGGAAAGAAAACTGGTTACACCTCACACATTTTAGGCCTCTTTTTTCCTTTTTGGAAAAAGTCCACCCTCTGCCATCACATACATGTCACAAAGGACATGTTTAGACTCTCTCTTGAAATGACTCCTGACAGTCAGGAGTTTGGAGGCGAATTAGAGAACAACCCACTTTATCATGTGAGTCATGGTCACCCCATATAAATTTAATATTTAAGCTAAGAAGCATCGTGGCTGTTCTCTGATAACAAATTCGTTTGAACTGTTGTCATGGACAGTATAAAGATGTTGTGGTTAGCACTGTTGCCTCACAGGAAAAAGGTCTGGGGCCTTTCTGTGTGGAGTCTGCATGTTCTCACTAAGTCGGTGTGGTTTCTCTCCGGGTACTCTGGCTTCCTCCCACAGTCCAAGACATGCATGGAATGAGGTTAATTGGTAATTCTGTTCAGGGTGTACCCTCCCTCTTGCCCTCTGACAGCTGGGATAGGCACAGGCACCCCCACAACTCTGAATTGGATAAGTGGAAGAAGATGGATGGATGGACTACATTAGCAAAGGCTCCTTAACAGAAATGAACCCTGTAAAGCATCTCTGTGGCTCTGCGGACAGCTGCCATGTTGCTTTTGGCTGCTTTTGTTTGGTTTCAGTAGAACTTCTTGTTTGTTTGAGAAGCTCAGAGCTGCAGTTGGTACAGGAGTCACTGTCACTTTGATTCAAAATGAGTGCAGAGCAGAGGCACAGTTTCATGCCGCTCACCACAGCAACACAGCACAGTGGAAACAGCAAAGAAACCAGCTGAACGTTGAGACTTAAAAGTGGGTAAAAATAAATTTTCTACAGGACTGTGTAGATGTATTTATGTCTGTGTGTGTGTATACATGTTTAGACATCTTTGTGAGGACAGAAAATTGGAATGCTGCTATACTTGTGGGGACCAACAGTCACTTGTGGGGACAAAATGCCTGTCCCCACAAGTTTGAAGGCATTTTTCACACTCAAAATGTGGTTTTAGTGTCAGGATTACAGTTAGGTTAAGGTTAGGTTTAGGCTCAGGGTTAGGATTAGGCATTCACTTTTGATGGTTAGAGAAAGCGGCTAGGGAAAGCATTATGTCAATGAGATGTCCTCACTAAGATATGAAAACAAGTGTGTGTGTGTGTGTGTGTGTGTACCTTGGTTTTAGGTGCTGTCCTCAGTGTAACCTGAACTGGGCTTTATTAATAAATAATGCATCTGAACCAGTCAGCTCATCAGTCAGCTTTTGAGGCAGGCAGTTCTGGCTTATTCTGCCATTTGCCCTCCAGCGGGACAGAAACAGACGCAGCATCAGAGATTATCTGTCTGTTTTCAGACTCAGGATTCAGTTTCAGGTGTTTCTGTTTTTGTTGCGTCAACTGGGCCGACCTCGTTGATCATGAATCCTGAATAGTAAGTGTTGTTTCTTTCTCTGCGCAGTGCATTACCGAGATGAAATGATCAGCTTGTAATAAAATGACACCTGGTCTTTAACACTGGCTGCTGACATGGAAAGTTAGGAGAAAACTTAAGCATGTGTAACATGCCCGACCCTTGTTTTTAACCTTTGTTTTGTAACTAGAGATCAGACGTATCAGACGTATGTCAGTCTAAAAAGACATACAAGCCAGTTTTATTGCTGAGGTGTCTAATTTGAGCTTATCAGTAAATTGTAAGTTGTGATGAATTAATGTTTTATGTCCGTCCATAGATTTGCTGCATGTTTCTATCAATTTGTAGAAAAAAAGCAAAAAGAGTAGATAATTGGAGGCATTCAGTTGTAGGTAATCTGTAATGGCTCACTAGGCCTCTGTGGCAGATGGGTATTGTTTAGTGGTGCTCAACAGAACAAAGACAAATTGTAACTTCTCGCAGACAAGAGTGCTACAGAAGAAACCATACACAGAAAGACATTTGATCCCAGGTTCGAGTTTGCGTCTGTGACTTATGTGTCCATAAACTGTGTAATGCAGCAGCTAACCACTTTGGTTTAATGCTACTCATTCAGAAATACAACACAATAATTTGCATCCATCTAGTATTACCAGGCAGCTGCTTTACTGCCAGCTTTGAGAAACAGCAGATGGTTTTGTTGTAATAATATCAACAACCTGGTTCCAGGAGGGCACGGTTTAAGCTGTAGCTCCAAATTCTTACATGAAAATAAAACTGAATGGAAAACTGTGTAGTGTGGATGGTTTTATTCACGGTCTATGGAAAAGCTTGCTTCTTATTCATTAATTTGTATCTTTAATGGGTAAAAGTTAGACATTTAAAAAAAGGAGTTTCTTGGTGACGACCACGTTGTTACCTGTGATTACACAAAATGACATTACTGGTGAAACATTGTTTCAGTATCTAAAACTAGTGACTGTGATAAACCATTCCTGATGAGCTAACATCTGTCCAAGGTTCACACTTTCATTTGACTTGTGGTTCAAGCACTTCATGGCGCTTGCACTGAGTGAAAAACTGCAAGTCTTACAAGCAAACAGCACGACTGATTTTGCAACCTTCACACTGTGCACTCGATATTTAGTTCATATGAAAGCAAAAAACAAAAATCTTCCAAATTTAGAGCATAAAACATTCAAAATATCAGATCAACCCTTGACTTTTGTTATAGATGTAATAAAATCTGGTTGCAAGTGTGCCACCCTCTGCATTTCTGAAATTCATGTCAGCATTCAGAGCTGTATTTGATGTGTGTTATTTGCTAGCTGGCTTTCAACATTTAAATTATGCAGCTTTTTATGGCATGACATCATTTACATCTGAGATGGAACCTCTGTAGTGGTTCATTCATGCATGTCTTCCTTTCTTCCCAGTGACTACTTGTTCAAGCTTCTTCTCATCGGTGACTCTGGAGTTGGAAAGTCATGCCTGCTGCTGCGCTTTTCGGTAAGACTGTGCACACGTATGCACACAAAGACACGCTCACTTTCCCTTTTTAACACTTAACTGCTTGCTGCAGGATGACACCTACACCGAAAGCTACATCTCTACCATAGGGGTCGACTTCAAGATCAGGACCATTGACATGGATGGGAAAACTGTCAAGCTACAGATTGTAAGGAAACGGCGAAGCGGTTTTGTGAGGAAACAACATAAAGTTGTTTTTCAAAGCATGAAAGTCTTAAAAAAACTGTTTAATGTTAGCCTCAGTGCTATTTTACGTGTGTGCATATACTCCTTCAGTGGGACACAGCAGGTCAAGAGAGGTTTCGAACCATCACCTCCAGCTACTACAGAGGCGCTCACGGCATCATCATTGTGTATGATGTCACTGAGCAGGTCAGTGTGTATGTCTTCATCATCATCTAAAAAGAAAAGCATTTGAACATGAACTCCAGACCTCCTGCTGCTTCGCTTTCTCTCTCTCTCCTCAGGAATCCTTTAACAATGTGAAGCAGTGGCTGGATGAAATAGATCGTTACGCCTGTGAAAACGTCTCCAGGCTGCTGGTGGGAAACAAGTCTGACCTCGTTAGTAAGAAAGTGGTGGATGCTGCCACTGCTCAGGTAACAGGCTACGTGCAGCGAAGAGGCTTAACTTCAAATACTTAGAAATAACTTCACACCTGTGGTTTTATTAAGCATCATAAAACTAAGTGGAAGCTTAAAATGGGAAATCATTTGTTTTTTCTTTAAAATAATTCTAGACATGAGCACACTGGTATTTTGACATCATCACATACTGGTATCTCTATCAGAAGGTTTTAGCATCGTGGACAAAGTGTCTGGCTTTGTGCTTAGACACACGTACTGTGGCAGCACTGGAGGCAGGAAGCAAGTAGTCAAGTTAGGAAGGTCGACAATCATGCCTAATGTTTCAGTAACACTAAAACCAGATGACAACCTCACTGTGACTAGTAAGAATGGGTGGTTGTCCTGTGACTGTGTGGAGATTTTTCACATTCAGCGAATGATTCCAAACAGTTGCTGCGATCAGATGTTTGGCACTCAACCACTAATCACTCAACCTGCAATCACTCTCAGGCAGATTGTTGAAGGTTAGCAAAAAATTACCACCTGATTTATAAATGCAAACAGGTTACTAACACGCTGAAGTCCCTCTGACTGAGTCTGCACCAATGAGCACAATTCTTCTGGGATAACTCAGCTGGTTTCAAACTGGGTATTTTCTGGGTATACTTCTATCTAAAAGTGGGACTGCCAAGCACCTAAGTCATTTGGAGTTAGATTGCGGTGCCGCAGTAACTGTCATACAATCTGGGGAGGAATTCTTGAGACTCCTTTCTTAATCTTGGTGTCGCAGTAGTGGTAGAGCAGGTCATCTGCTAATCAGAAGATTGGTCCCAAAGATATTTGTCATGCTCCATTTTGCATGCCAAATATCTACGGGCAAGGTATTACCTCTGATGGAGTCTCTCCGATGCGTCCAATAGAGTATAAATGTGTGTGACTGTTAGATAGAAAGTGTTAACTTTGGAAAAGCATAGGAAAAAATGCTTGTATGAATGAGGCAAGTTGTATAAAGTGTGCACAGTTAGAGTAGGAAAGCTCTTTATATGAACCAGTCCATTTATCAGATCTATGAGGTTCAGACACCTTAACCCCGTTCAATTACAAACTGATACAGACTGGCCCTCTCTTACTGACTCTAAGGACTCCAAAGAGTCAATTTGAGGGGAGCAACTAACTATGAGTCTCTCAGGGAGACTTCAGCGTGTTAGTAACCTGTTCCAAATCTAGACTTGGACTAAGAAGCAAACCATTTGAAAGGATAGGAGATTGCAAGCTCATATATTTAAAAGTAGCATTGGAGGCAGAGCCTTCAGCGTTCAGGCCCATCTTCTGGGTAACCAGCTCCCAGTTTGGATTTGGGAAACAGAAATCTTCTCTACTTTCAGGAATAAGTTTAAAACTTTCCTTTTTCATCAAGTAGTTAGGGCTGGATCAGGTGACCCTGAATCCTCCCTTAGTTACACTTAATAGGTCATGCTGCCGGAGGTTTCCCATGATGCACTCGGTGTTTCTTCTTCACTGTGTTTACACATCACTCTGCATTTAATCATTAGTTATTATTAATCTCTGGCTTTGTCTTTTGTCCCGTCTTCATCCCCACACCCTCAGGTGTGCCAGAGGTTGCTTCTTGTTAAAAGGAAGTTTGTCCTTCATCCCTACGGTCCTTACCTTACAATAAAAAGCACCTTGAGGAGACTTTAATGCTGTTGTGATTTGGATTGAATTAGTAGTCAGGTCATTGACAGGGGCTTCTTTGGACCAGTGGGCATCTTGTACATGCACCAGGAGCTTTGACAAACCGGCAGTATTTGAATGAAAACAGGCTCAGTGTTCTCAGTGCCAAGTCTGGCCAGGCGTTCATCGACTTTGTAGCTTTCATGTCTAAATTCCTTTGAAAAGTACCAGATGTAAACTTGTGAACTAACTACAATATTTAAATGTTGACTCATCAATAATTCAAAAGTCTGATTACAGTTCTTTTTCAGAATGACTACTCAGTTCACTCTTAATCCAGGAGTACAAATTACATGTAATACTTTACTCTGGAATCGAATTTTAGAATTACAGTTGTTGCATTAAATGCTTTTAAACTGTGGTGTTTACACACTTGCTGCTTTTAATAAGACTTGACCCCATCCACAGGACCTGGCTTCGTCCCTGAAGATCCCGTTCTTGGAGACTAGTGCGAAGAGCTCTGATAATGTGGAGAGGGCGTTCCTTACCATGGCCTCTGAGATCCACAAACGTCTGGCCAGTGAAGGAGGGGGCATGGAGGGCGAGTCAGCAGAGGCCAGGACCGCCAAGATCAACAGCGCCCCCCTGTGGCTGGGAGGGGAAAAACAGACGCAGGAGGCCAATAACTGCTGCTGAGGTGGAAACATAAGCACAAATATTTATTACTTGATGAGACAGATGTGTCATTTGAAAAAGACCCAGCTGTCTGGTTTAAGGACTCATTAACTGAGTGTTACAGGCACACATATCGGCATATTTTTGACATTTATGACTTTGGAAGAAAAACACATTTTTGACTTGACTATGATATATTTTTGAGCTTGGTACTTTTGAATGAGATAGAGGTTGACGTTTTTTCCTTTTACAATTATGTTCATTTATTTAAAAAAAATGAGAAATGGAAGTAAAACTAAATAAAAAGAAAACTATAGCACATTATAATAAACTAGGACCAAACATGCAGAAATCAGAGCACTCAGCCAAAGGAACAAACACGGTGGGGTCTATTCAAGTGTAGGTGACACGATTTGGAAATACAGAGAGGACCGCTCTCGTGAATAGCAATAGTTGAATGTTAATTAGCAGCCGCACAGTCTTTAATTATCTGATATAAGCAACCTGACTGTATGATTTAAGTTTCTATAAATGCCTCAGACTTATTAACCAGTTCCTGTTGTGTTTTGCTTGGTGTTTGTTTATGTCAATAAAGATATCTGAAGTTGGTCTTTTTTGCTGAAAATATAAAGAGATACTGAAATTCTCAAGATGATATTAAAAGAAAGCCTGATCCTGATCTGCGTGATCAAAGTTAGAAGATGATTGTTTCATGGTTTAAATGAGCTAATCTTGGTGGTTTGACTGAGACAGGAGATCAACCACTGAACATGAAAATGCACAAATATCATTAACATCCTTTTTTTCTCCCCTCAAATTTTTAAAAGTCAGCTTCCATTCAAGTTGCATTGTGTGATGCCGGTGCCAGTTTTTGGGTCAAGACTTCTTAATTTGGAACTCTCAGATCCAAATACAGACATGGAGGTCTGGACAATAAGAAAAAGTCTGTAAATTCAGAATAGCAGTGAGTTGATTATCAGGTTTTATTTTTCTCACAATCTGTCACACTTGTTGTTTTTCGAACTTTCAAAGATGCAGAAGTGTCTGGGAGCCGCTGATTTTATATAAAATGTTCATATGGTAAATGCTAACTCATCTGGCATTTGACTTACTAGATTATTAAACCTTTTAAAACCTAAAAGATTCTTGAAGAACTTTAACTCACTATCTAAAATCTGAAAATCACTGGACATCCTCAGGAGATATTGGCCTGACAAATATCCCTTTGTGATGTGAAGGGATTTCTCATGAAGGCCAGGCAACCTTAAATATGTCACATTAGTGTCATTTCAACATGAATTAATTTCCTCTCTTTGCTGTGACAACAGTATTATCGCAGTGTAACAATGACTCACTGAAGGCCGACTTCTTTGTAATCAACTGGACGTTGTTTTAGCAACAAGAAGCTTATGAAAGCAGCTGAGAGACTGAGAACTCAGCAACTTCAGCTACTCAAATACAATTTAAATAAACTTTGTTCTTGAAATGTAAAACAGATGGGAAATAAGACCATGTTTTAAATGTGTGAGCTTCGTCTACACTATATGGTACTGAGTACCTACACCTACCTACCTAGCTACCTACACATTATGCCTACAGTGTGAGCCATAGAATGAACACCAGCTCCCTGTGCACAGTTGGCGTGCCGATGTTAATGCTGAAGAAGGTTTAAAATGAATAGAATATACAAAAATACTCTGGAGTAGAGGAGGATACACAATAATAATGAAACCATAGTGACTACACAGCTGATATACAAGCACATGCGTCAGTACGATCCTTTCCCTACAGTCAGCAGTGAGTTCTGCACTGTCCTCAGGTTTGATATGAGGATTTAAAAGCAGTTTATTTTATGAAAAACTACAAAAACTACAACAGCTGGACTGCCTCAGACAGGCAAATGGAAACAGGATGAGGGGGCAGGACAGAAACTGGCAAGCAGTTCTTTTTCCTTCCACCAGATGTCAGTGTTGCTCTGTATTTGTTTCCTACAGAGGTTGACAGCATCAGTCTCATTCATGATCTCTTATGTTTTATGTTCGCCCCCCTCCTCCCCTGCATCTCTCCCTACCTCTGAGTGTCTCTTTCATCTTTACATCTTTCACTCCCACTTGTCTAACCATAGCCTACCTCTGTTCCTCCACCCCATCCTCATCCCCGGCCTCTTGCTGCTTTTCCATCATTTCATATTCTTTTTCTTTTTTGTTTTCCCCTCTCCCTCTTACTTCACTCTTGCCCCACTCGTCTACACCCTTAATGGACCTCTCATTTTATATCTTTCTCCCATTCTCTTTTGCCCTTCTGCCACACATGAACGTTCCAAAATGAATCTTAATTTGATTGCAGAGATCTACAGCTCAGGTGGGGGAATCTGTCCATAGGACAACTATTAGTCGTACACTGCACAAAGTTGGCCTTTATGGAAGAGTGGCAAGAAGAAAGCCATTGTTAACAGAAAACCACAAAAAGTCCCGTTTGCAGTTTGCCACAAGCCATGTGGGGGACACAGCAAACATGTGGAAGAAGGTGCTCTGCTCAGATGAGACCAAAATGGAACTTTCTGGCCAAAATGCAAAACGCTGTGTGTGGCGGAAAACTAACACTGCACATCACTCTGAACACACCATCCCCACTGTCAAATATGGTGGTGGCAGCATCATGCTCTGGGGGTGCTTCTCTTCAGCAGGGACAGGGAAGCTGGTCAGAGTTGATGGGAAGATGGATGGAGCCAAATACAAGGCAATCTTGGAAGTAAACCTCCTGGAGTCTGCAAAAGACTTGAGACTGGGGCGGAGGTTCACCTTCCAGCAGGACAACGACCCTAAACACAAAGCCAGGGCAACAATGGAATGGTTTAAAACAAAACATATCCATGTGTTAGAACGGCCCAGTCAAAGTCCAGATCGAAATCCAATCGAGAATTTGTGTCAAGATCTGAAAACTGCTGTTCACAAACGCTAATCTGACTGAGCTGGAGCTGTTTTGCAGATTTCAGTCTGTAGATGTGCAAAGCTGGTAGAGACAGACCCTAAAAAACTGGCAGCACCCAACAATCTGTGGGATATAAATATTTCTAACACTAATAACTTGACAGTTAAAAAGTTAAACTGCTGAAGGGCATGCCAGGAGGTGCTGTGTATTCAATAATAGTGAAGTCAAATGATGAACAGAGGAACAGGAGAGCAGTGTCTGATGTATTGAATGATTTTTGTTTGTTTTTTGATATGCTGAACTGCAGATCAGCTCAGGTAGCCCCGCCCACACACAGTGACAGGAAACTAGGTGAGACAAAGAGCATGTTAGAAAAGGCTCATTTATTTTAGCCTGCATTTTAAACTGTGCTCTGCTGTTTAAACAGCTGCTCTGAAAAACGATTTCAGCGCTTAACAGAGCCCGTGAATAGATTCTTGTTCTATTGTTGTGTGGTTTTATCATCTTTATTTTTTCAATGATGTAATTCAAATGTTCAGCATTTTATTTACACTTACTCTTCTACTAATAGAATGATGACCTATATAAAGACTCATTTATGCATTTATTATAACTTATTTATGTATAATAACAATGACAACAACGGTATAAACTGTAAAACTGCCAGGTTCTTTAAAAAGCATGAAATATAAATATAAAACAAGCTTAAAATGCTAATTATAGTTAGAACCCTCAACCCTTAAAGGGGGTAGCTTTTAACCCGTTCACACATAGTAGTCACTACAGTGGATATTCAAAGGCTGTTTTCTTGTATTTGTGTCAGTGCTGTTGGTATACTTGCACATAAACCAGTACACTGGACACTGATGTGTCACTCCATACCTGCCACCCACTGGTTGTTTAATGTTACTACAGATGTATGACGTGTTTCATGAATGAATTATGACAACTTCGAAAAGCTTTTCGATTTTTTTTTCTTAAGCATTTTTATTTATCTTTTCATGCCTAAAGATGAATAAAAATACTTCCTGATTGAGGTTGTCATAATTCATGTTTGACAGGTTTAAGGAATTAAATTAAAGTTTTACTTTTTTGTTTTAGTGTTTACACTAAAGATTACACCAAAAAGATCCAGTTTAAAAACCATCATAAAAGCAACCTCTGATATGTAAAACTACCATGTGAGAGGATTAATTTTAGCCTTTGTTAGCAAAGCGTTCATGAAAAAGTCTACTCCAGTAACGTTTTGTACTTCTGCCACCTCCAGCACACAAAATACTTTTTCTTATCAAACTCTTTGTGCTCAGTCCAGCTCAGACTGATGCTGAAGATGTAGTTTCATGTCTGCTGTACCACCTGCAGTCTGTGTCATCAAATAAGATCAGCAGGTTACCTGGCTGTCTTTTGCATTGAGTTCCAGGTATCATTCAAACAGTTAGTTTTTAACCTGAGGTACATCTCTGCACAGCTGTCCTGTTGTGGAGCAGGTGCACTACTCGGGTCCATTACTTGTGGCATATTTCCCCTTCAGGATCAATAAAAGCCAGCAAAAATGAATATTTTTCAGTTTCTTTTTTAAAACACAGTAATGGTTGGAGCTCCATATTAACTGGGCCAAGTTTCTGGCATGCCAGAGGGGATCCCTGACAGCACTGCTTGGAATAACATGAGGTGACTGAGGATAACTAGGAGAAAAAAAACACAGGCATTACCTTCCTCTCTTCCTCAGAAATAGTGACACATTACTTTTAAATTCACTAATAACTTCAGCACCTGTTTATAGCCTCACGTTTATTATTTGGATATTAATTCTAGCCGTCTCATTTTGTTTTACAGCTCCGGCCTGAGCTTTCAACACCCTCAACTGCCAGCCTTTTGGCAGCTGCACGCATCACTGGGTGCGAGGTAACCTGTCTCTAATCACGGTCTGATTCTGACTGCAGTCATTCTCAGTCAGATTACTGAAGCTTTGCAAATAACTGCTGTCTAACATAAAAACATGTACAGCATCGTGTGAGTCGATGCCAACGAGCACAACTCATCTGCAATGAGTCTCGTTGCTACACACTCGAGTTAAGTCGTTTCCTTTTAGCTATGTTCCTTCATAAAAGGAAGACTAATGCCTGTGTCGCTTCACAGTGAAATCACCTCCCTGCAGCAACCACATCACGATTTGTGGAGAAATAT